GCAACTTGGGGGGAATGTTCAGGGTTTCAACATCTTGAAAGTCATCCTATACATAAACTATACAAAATATGGTGTTTCAAAAACCCAGGCCCCACAGCCACCTGCTCTCTATTGATAAGGATCATGGAGGTTGCTCAAAATGGGAGGCCCCCAGGGACCCGAGGGATTTATAGGGAAAATGAGGGAGTCATGGGGGTGGTCTTCGTTAGGGCTTCTCTTGGGACTGTTTGGAGAAATACCCTACACCCTAGACATCCCTAAACCCTAAACCGGGTGGAAGTGTAAAGTGTAAGGGATGAAGGTCCTGCGTCCGCCAACCTTGTAGCAGATGGAAGCCTTGAACTCTAAACCCTACACCTTCAACCCTAAACCCTGAACCCTAAACCTTTAAACCCCGTTTGTTCCTCTCCCTCAGCCCACAGTTCCTGGGCTGCATAAACTTTAGATCTTGGACGCAGCGCCTACTGTCAGGGTTTAGGCTTCAGGGTTGAGGGCAAGCTGCTGCTTCTGGAGCTACGAAGTTGTGAATTGGTAATTGATCAAAGGTCCTGCTCCCAAAATGGCCATTATGGCAAATGAGTTCCGCCATATCGTCCTCATAGACCTACAGGGTCCCTCAAAGATTTCCCCATAGGACCTCCAAATCAACCCCAATCGTCTTCCAGAAGGGTTTTGTGCAAAGCTGTCCGACATCCTGTAGCTCTTGTTTCATTCATCGGGGAAGCCTTTGCTGAATGTTTTCAGAAAACAGTGCAAAACAGCGTGACCCCGCGTCAAAGAGCTAGTTCTCCCTGGCTCAGGTGGCCTGAGCACGGACGCTAGCAATCAGGGCAATGCTGAAAGCCGTCACGAGTCTGCCATTAGATAGCAGCTACAGGCCCAACATCCCCGACTCTGCCAGCAGCTGTTCGCATGTCGCATGTTCGCAGGGAGGCTTCCACAATCGACATGAGCGACAGCGGCCCGACTTGACAAACTAGCTCTAACAAGCCACGCCTTCGCACAATCACAAAGCCAGTATATACGTGGGCGACGCACCCACGCCAATTCGCTCTGCCACGCATTCGCGTTCACACGTTGGTGCGCTCTCATAAGCTTGAGTCGAAGCCCCTTAAGTTTGAGGCTGGGCAATTCATAAGCGTCACTGTTCTGAATCATGTATTCCCAAATTCCCCCATAAGAACTACAATTCGTTTTGGGGGGCTTTTCAGCTGGCTCAGATGCATCTTTTCAAAACATGAGCTCCTGTCTGAAGGGTCAACTGAGGAGCAAAGAGCTCTGTCTTGGGGTATACTCGGGGGCCTTGGAAAGACAACATCCGCACAGTTCTCTGGAGCGTCTGACCGACTGTCACTCGGTGGGTATGCACTTGAGTCAGGAAACCATAAACACTATAGTCCCACTTAAGTAGATAGAATATGGCTTGGGTACAGTATAACAAGATCCCCATATACCCCATATTCTATCTACTTAAGGGGGACTATAAACTCTCAAACCCTGCCCCCTCAAGCAGCACTCAGGTCTGGCACTCGGGGGCCTCCGCCGCGCGGAGCCGATCTGCATTGGGCGCAGCCTGGCTCCCAGAGTCCGCGGAGGAAACCTGGCGTTTAGGGGGTTTGGGCTTAGGGTTTAGGCTTAAAGGAACTTAGGGATGAAGGCTGTCTTAAGCTTAACTTACTGGGGGTTAGTAAGGAATAAGGGAAGATATAATATAGCGATTACAAAGGGATTATCTTCCTTTATTTGCCCACTAACTCCCAGTAAGTTAATAGGACTAAACAGGAGCATCTTAAGTTTCATGACTTTTTACAAGTTATTCACTTTAGAATCCGGAGGGAGGGCAGTACATCTAAGCTTAAGTCAGTTGATGTGTACCGACTTGACCTGGACCGTTGTGGTGTGCCCTATCTTGCCTGAAAAGGATCCAGGGCCCGTTCTCGGCTCCTTGTTTTGGCTCCCTGCTGTTATCTCTACTGCGAGGCCTCTTCCTGAACATCCATTCAAGGTAGTCTAGTACTCTCCATGTCCTTCTTCCTACACACGACAAAGTTCCAAGCAGGCTTGTGATGGTTCAAACGAAATGTGTACCTCTCTGAGAGTGTTGTCCCAAATACAAGTCATGCCTTCATCCGGTACCTTTTCTGAATTTCGCCCGCTACCGCTTGGATAATCTGAACACCCTGATGCTGCTCAAGCCTCCGCAGAAGATGCCCCAACTTCCCCAGCCTGCAATCCTCCAAAGCGGCTTTCGCCTGCCCTACCGAACCTATCGGGGGTTAATAGGGAACAAGGGAATGCTTAGAGTTTATAATATACAGGGATTATATTCCCTTATTCCCAAAAAACCCAGTGAGCAACAGGATCACAAACGCTACGACCCCAAACCGTGTCTAGCCTTCGGTGCTGCACTCTGCTTGGCCTCGCAAGTGGGCTGTTAAGTGGGCATTCGAACGCGGGAATTCTCACATGGGAGTTGGTGCCTGGCGCTTGGACGCTTATGCCAAAACGGCGTGCTGCAGCTCGCACATGTGACTTTGGAGGACGTTGAGTCCCAATGGTGAAGAAGTTGAAGCTCCCGGCTTACAGCAACTTGGGATCTAGCTCAGAGTAAGAGCCAGTGGGAAACTTGACATCCTTCAAACACCTCACGAAGATCACCTGGGGCACCCCGAGACTTCGTTTTCCTGAACACCCTGCACCTCCAGCACCAAGCTCTCGTTTCCTACCTGAAAATGGAGGAAGGGATCCATCGCGGTCTCTACATTATGCCCTATCCTAAACCCTGTAGCCGAGAGCCCGGTCCTTCTGTACCGACCATCTTCTTGCAAGACCAACACGAGTGGGGGCCTTCACCAGGAAGGCTTCACCAAAAAGGCCTCTTTGAGCCGCATCTTGCCCTTTACAACCCTCAACCCTCATTCTAGTGGAACAAACCCTTCCTTCCTCAGATCCCCGTAAGCCCTAACCAAGATGTAGCTTTCCATAAATCAGGGGCACCTTTGTGCCAAGGCTCACCCATTTTCTGCATGAGCTATAATGTAAACTCCTAGTATCCGCCTTAATAACCCCTATCATACTCCCCTATACAATCCCCTATATAACCCCCTTTAAGGAGCTAGGCTATAGCTCCACTGGAAGCGCCCAGATATCCTGAAGCTCTCACTGGAGTGAAGGTCCTGGCCTCGTAGCCGCCGGACTCCGGGCTGCGAGGCTTCGCCTGCCCAAGGAGTAGGGTTTAGGTTTAGGGCTTAGGGTTTAGGGCGTAAGGACTTTGCGGGGCATTATTCAGGCTGGTTTAGGGCGTTTAGGGTTTAGGGATGAGGTTTTTTACCGCATTATGCGGTTTGGGGTGTTAAAGCTTTTAGGGGTTTGGTGGGTTTTGGATTTAGATATGAGGGGTTTTAGGGGTTTCGGCTTCAGGGTTCTGGCATTTTGGCCCTGCCTGGCAGTAGAGTAACCTTACAGTAGACCGTCTTGTAAATCTCTAATATGTTAATAAAAGTGGCTGTGACAAAGACCATTTGTAGCCAGAGGGCTTGTAGCCAAATTTTGGGCTGGCTTGAGCAAAATGAGACTACGAACTTCTTCTGCCAAAATTTCAACAGGCAGTCCAAGCAAGAGCGGTCATGGGGTCCCTAAACTTCGCACTGTGAATGGATTGGCAACAGGGGTTCCATGGGTGCATTCCTTCGGCAAAACCATGGCAAATACCAAAAAAATCTTGGCATATGACTCTCT